CCACACACACTCACTTTAGGCCTTCCAGTGGTAAGGGCAAGCAGGGCCATGCTTAATAAGAAACCTTAGCACCCTCTTTCTTAAACACAGAGAATAGAAATGGACATTAAAGAGAGAAGTGGAGGGGATCCTTGGAACCTCTGTTGCAGGAACTGAGCCTGCCAATACTGTGGCAAAGGTACAGACTTTGAAGTCACACAGGCTGCTTTCTGTGCTTTCTTGTTGCATATATTCTTAATTTTTTCATTGTGAAATGTATTATCTATAGCAAATAAACTCACCACCCAGATTTATAGATATTCATATTTTACAGTATTTTTCTTTAACAGAAAAGTGATGTATTACAAACATCATTAAAGCTCCATCCAGCTCCCCAAACCCTCCCTCCCTCCTCAGTAATTACTATGCAGATGTTCGTGTCTGTCATTCCATACTTGGGGCATAGGCTTGTACTTAACTATAAATGTCCATATGTAAAAATATTGTCCGTATGTATTATATTCAATAGTATTGCTTCACATGATTAAAGAAAAATGGCATTGAGCCCAGCCAGTGTGACTCAGTGGTTGAGCGTCTATCCATGCACCAAGAGATTGCAGGTTTGATTCCTGGTCAGGACGCATGCCCGGGAGCAGGTTTGATCCCCACCAGGTGGTGTGCAGGAGGCAGCCAATTGATGTTGAAGCACCAATGTTTCTGTCACACTCTCCCTCTCCCTCTCCCTTCCTCTCTCTCTAAAATCAATAAAAACATATTTTTTAAAAATGGCATTGAGCCACGCAAATACCTTTGCAATCAGTCCCAATGCTGCTGCTTACTTGTAGAAACCATGGGCGAGTTGCATCACCTCTTCCAGCCACACACAGATGGGTTAAGATGCTGGTTGTATTCATCTTGACACAATCCAGGTGAGCAAGGATTGAGACCTGAAGAGGAGGAGACAAATTTGATATTATGGGGCAGAATGAACTGTGCTCGGTGACTAATATGATGTGTGTACAGGTACCTGACTGGAGAGTAGTGTCAGTCACGGAGATCAGGGCACGGTGGGGCAGTGATGCTGCTGTGGGATCGTGAGGTGTGATGGAGTCCCTTTTCTACTTATGGGGTTGGAAGTGTCCGCAGCACACTCAGGTAGAGAGGTTCAGGAGGCAGCTGGGTTTTTGGACCTGAAGTTCAGGCACTGGTAGAGAGATTCCTCTTTTGGTTCCTTTAGCACCCAGTGAGCGTGAACTTTGGGAAGGGAGGCAGCTGTGTGAGTGGCTCCCATGTCACCTTTACCTGGAACCCATAATGTGTTTCACTCTTGCCATATGTCTACAGAACTCTGACAGGTGGCACAGGAGACCTGGGTGGGATCACCTAGTGGCCATGTCAGTTTCAAAGGTTAGAGTTATGTGTGCAACATTTTTTTCCTTCTAATAACCTGTGTGGTTTCCTTGTTCATGAAATTACTTGCCTTAGCGTTAATAAGTTCCTAGGCTTTATTAGCTCTTGCGTTGCTTCTTTGTATTTGCCTGAACTTGCCCCCTTTTTATACATCGGAGAGCCCTGGGGTTGCTGGCAGTACCTGTGTATCCCAGCATATTGCTCCCTTCCCAGGCATTTGGCCTCAGAATCCTAGTCTTGAGTCTGTCTGCAGGGAGTGTTCTTCTCCAGGACAGAAGCCAGGGGACTACTCACGTTTGTCACTCACTACAGACCCAGTTCAGGGCCTTTGGTTCACCATCACTAGTTAGCAGCTGGTTTTCACCGGGAAATGTCTCCTTTTGCTTGAAGGAAAGATGCCTGCCCCTACCCCTACCTCGATCCCAAAAGCCCAGCAAAATGTCCTGGCAGGCCTCCTTTTGGATGAAGGGAATCCACCCAGAGTAGCTCAGGTACCAGTGTGAGGCAAGGGAAAGTTTGGACAGCTGCTCTTATTGTAAAGGTCCAGAAAGACCTGGGAATTGAGGGCAGGGAGCCACTGTGGATGGATGGGGTGGGACGGGACCCAGGAGCAGCTCTGAGCCCTGGTTTTCTCTCTTCTTTCTCTGATTACTCTCCTCTCTCTTCTCTCTTCATCTTTCTTCTTCTCCCTCTCCTTCCCCCCTTCTTTTCTACCCCTCCCTCCCTACCTTCTTTCTCATACTTGCAGGGTGATATCTAGGTCTCACTCTCTGGTCCCTCTTATTATCAACTCTCTGTCCTCCCCTTTCCTTCTTCCTTTCAGCTCTTACCTCACTCGCTTCTCACCTCCACCACCCAAACTGGCAGCTGGCCTATACCTTGGATCTGAACTTGCATCTGGCCTACAATTGCCCAGACTCCAGCACTGAATGGCCTTTTTGCTTGAAAGCCCAAGGCCATCTGGCGGTAATCTCTCTGTTCAGGATTCGGAGCTCCCGAGAGGGAACTGGTTGGCTCAGCTCCTCTTCCTGAGCCTGGACACGCTGTCCCCGGCTGCTTGCCTGCCCAGAAAAGGGTCCCTCTCAGATCAGGTACAGCCAGGGCCAGTCAGCAGTGACAGGGGGTGCGGATGGGCATGAGGCCCTGAGAAGGGGTTTGTGGGAACTAGCACAAGAACTGTGTCCTAGAACCCCTCAAATGAACTTGCACCAGGGTGGTGATCCTAAATTTGGCTCAAGCTCTGGATGGGAAGTCACAGTTTACAAATTGTGTGTCATCACCTCTGCACTAATTCAAGGGTATACATCTCTGAAGTAATGAATTTAGCATCTTCCAGCCACCAAACTCGTCATGAAATTAAACTTTCATTCAAAGTGTTTGTTTTAGTCACATGTCAGGGTGCAGGGGTGGGCTTGGCTGATTCCAGTCATTCTGGAGAACGTGACCTGTACTGTATTTCCGGTCATGAAGATTTGATATGTAATTTGAAACATGTACCCCCAAAGTTGAGAGTCCTTTTTAATATTGGTCACCAAGGCAGTGAATGGCAGAGGGCAGACCCTGCGCCCCACTTGTGATGCCACGAGGACCTGCCCCACGCCGTCAGAAGGAGGGCCCAGCTCTCCAGGGCAGGCGGGCAAGCGCCTGTCCCATCCTGTGAGTTCTGTGGCCACTGGTGCCACCCACCTATGTTCCCTGTGGTCCTAAGTCACAAAACTGGCTATGACTGCATTTGCCTGGAGTGTCTGAGAACAGCCTCAGATGTGGAAACCTTGTCCCACTTGTACACAACTGGAAAACATTACAGAACTGGAACCTTTCAAATTAAAAAAAAACAAAAAAAAAAACAGCCCACAAATCCAGTGTATGCAGCTTAGTCCCAGGGAAACAAGCAGAGGAGGGGACAGTGAGCTTGCTTCCACTTCGAAGGTGGTTTTGATTTAGAAAATGTGCCTCAAAATTCAGTACAGAAAAGAGGCTTTGTTTTGCTGCTAATAAAAGTAAAACTACTCTCGAAGGTTCAGGGCGCATCAGGGTTTACATTTAATCTGTGTTCCACTTTGTCTACCTGGATAGTCTTCTCTCTCCAGCTGCAGAATCAATCACTGGATTGTGGGAAACTCTTCTCGTGATGCAAATTAGGTGGGATCCTGTTCTGACAACATGAGTTAATCATCACTAGAAATATTGGCAAGAGCTGGAGATGTTTGTATTCCTCGGGGACAGCTTAGCGTCTCCGGATAAATAAATATTCATGTCCAGCGGATGCCTTCTCTGGCTTTCCTTCCCAAAATTCCCTTGCCCATAGGCAGACCAGTCAAAGGCAAAATGTTGGGTCCCCTGGTAATTTACAAAGCGTGGGTGATACTTGAAAACAATTGGCCTTGAGCTACCACCGGTATTCAGTAATAAGTCTCTGTATAATATATTTCCTCTTGCAAAATTGCACAGTGGCCATATGACCATCTTTACCCCCAGAATCAAGTCAGATTACTTCTGAAAGAAACTTTAGGAGTTGGCTTGGGAAATTCCTGCAGTCTCCATATTGGGAACTCCTACTGTGAGGCCTCCAGCTATGAGACAGGTGGTTACGAGAATGAAAGGAAATGAGGACCCCCTTCTCCTTGTGTCCCCTCTATAGAATAAGAAGATCTACTTGGACACTATTCACACGTACATGGAAGTGCATGCCACTGTCTACGGCTCCAGCACTAAGAATATTCCCAGTTATGTGAAAAACCACGGAATCCTCAGTGGGCGGGACCTGCAGTTTCTTCTCCGAGAAACCAAGGTGAGTTTTTAGTAGTTTTGTAAAAATCCATCAACGATGTTGTTTTCAGGTTTATTTCTGGTGGCACTGAAAATGGGGTCAGAATCTTTCTCTCATGCCTCTTTTCAATGCTGCAATAGCTCTTTAGGTCTTTTCCAGGCAGTGGTTTTCTAGACCAGCTGTAAGGAAAAGTTAGTGAACTGTGGAAAGAGGTTGCTGCAGTGTAAAACTTACTGAGGACCTGCTCTGGCCCAGGCCTCATGAGAGGGGCTGGGGATACGGTGGCAGACAGGAAAGGTGAGGCCCTATCTCAGACTTTCTGATAGAGCAGCAGCTTTCACAGCAAGCCTGGGGTGCTTAACTCCCCCACCTCCCCAGTCACTGCTATTCAAGAAATCAGTCCCGCAGCTAGCTTTTCCTCGCATATTCTCATTTGGACTGCACATAGAAGTTCAGACGAGGGAAAAGCCCCTTCGGGCTCGAGGAGCAGGGGAAGATATTGTGAGATATAAGAGATGAGAAACAGATGGGGTGTTGGTGCACCTGGCATTGGGGACAGACAGGAGTGAGCCAGGTGCTGGAGGCGGAGAGGATGCCTTCAGGAGAGGGCCGGAAACCAGCCCAGCTAGTCTAACCCGGTGTTGGGTAATAGTGGAAGATGAAATCTGATGAGGGGCTGAGGGGCTGATTGTCACGGACAGAAACGGTTCAGACCATGTGGTGCAGGGGCACAGGGAGCTGGGGAGCCATTGACGGAGGACTGTTTCAGTGGCGTGATGGGCATGTTTGTTTTGACGCTGTGGGGAATCTGCCCAGCGTCTGCCGTGGAAATACCAAGTGAAACTGGGGGGGTTTGCGAATAGACTAGAGTTTGGTTTCAAAGGGTTGGTCATGTATTAGGTAAGCTTTCTGATGTTTATTGTTAAGCTTTCATTTATGAATATTACAGATATTGACCGAGCAGCTTCTATGGGCCAGCCTTGTACAAGGGATACAGGGTGAGGAAAACAAGAGGATCTTGGCCTCATTGTTTCAAGGATAAAAAGCTCATTATCATAGTGAATTTTACAGCTCTGGCCCTGACTGAATGTGTTTTCATTCCCAAGGTAGAGGAGGGAGGTTGAGTGGATGAACTTACATGGCCTAATAGGGATCTGTAATCGTTGTGTGATACTCCAGTTTTGGAAAGTGTGTTCACATATGCTGTCCTGTTTAATTCTCACAACGGCCTTCAAAGGTAAGCAGGGCAGGTACTATCGTTAACTTTATTGTCAACACGAGGAAGCAGACCAAACAGTTGGACTTGCACACAGTCCCNGAGTGCAGGGAGCTGGGGAGCCATTGACGGAGGACTGTTTCAGTGGCGTGATGGGTATGTTTGTTTTGACGCTGTGGGGAATCTGCCCAGCGTCTGCCGTGGAAATACCAAGTGAAACTGGGGGGGTTTGCGAATAGACTAGAGTTTGGTTTCAAAGGGTTGGTCATGTATTAGGTAAGCTTTCTGATGTTTATTGTTAAGCTTTCATTTATGAATATTACAGATATTGACCGAGCAGCTTCTATGGGCCAGCCTTGTACAAGGGATACAGGGTGAGGAAAACAAGAGGATCTTGGCCTCATTGTTTCAAGGATAAAAAGCTCATTATCATAGTGAATTTTACAGCTCTGGCCCTGACTGAATGTGTTTTCATTCCCAAGGTAGAGGAGGGAGGTTGAGTGGATGAACTTACATGGCCTAATAGGGATCTGTAATCGTTGTGTGATACTCCAGTTTTGGAAAGTGTGTTCACATATGCTGTCCTGTTTAATTCTCACAACGGCCTTCAAAGGTAAGCAGGGCAGGTACTATCGTTAACTTTATTGTCAACACGAGGAAGCAGACCAAACAGTTGGACTTGCACACAGTCCCTGAGGTCATCTACAAGTGACCCTAACGCATGACTTTTTTATTGCAAATTAAAGCTCTGCTGGCTCCTGACGCACCATCCTCATGAACAAACACTCACACATCTAATGGATAATCCCCAGCCCAACAACATGCACCTCTTTTCTGCCTCAGTTTTTCCATGTGTAAATGCATTCGACCATTTCTACCTCCCAGCCATGTGATGGCATGAATAAACTAGTTTGATAAGTTATTTATCTCCTTGGCCAACGGTATGTTTGGTTTTTTGTTTTGTTTTGTTTTTTGAATACATTTTTATTGATTTTAGAGTTAGAGGAAGGGAGAAGGAGAGAAACTGTTTATCAGTGTGAAAGGTAAACATCCATTGATTGCCTCCCTACACACCCGGACCGGTACTGAACCAGCAACCTGGATATGTGACCTTTCTGTGCTCAAGATGACACTTAACCAACTGAGTCACTCTGGCCAGGGCTGGTTGTTTTAATTAGGACTTGATTTCCTTACAAGGTCATCCATAGCCTGATGACGGACACCGGGAACTTCGGTGCATTCCCAGCTTGCACTGTTTACTTCCCATTCATTCACCTTCTGTCCTGGGAGATATTTTAGAGTCATTAGAACGTGTGGGCTCTCTAGTGCCAATACTGTTTTTCCATTTGCCTCATTTTACTTTTCCCCTCATAGGTTGTGGAAGAAGCTCAAGCTCCTTTCAAATTATCTTTGGCAACACTGGTTTTCAGCAGTCTGTCATTGCTGTCCCACACACTTCTATTAACCCAACCTTCGTAAATGTCTTACTCAGCCTTGCAAATTTTAAGAGAGCTCTTACTTACCTGCCATCCATTTACCTGTCAGGGAATGGGAAATAGGCTGAGGCTGAGGCCCCTAGATCCAGGGAGGAAAAGGGCAGAGGCCTGGAAAGCCCAGCCACTGTGTGGGAGACTGCCTAACAAACAAGGGTTGCAGCTTACATTTTGAGTTTGAGTTTCAAGGATATATTTATCCTTGAAAAACTGGTGCCGTTACAGGATGTCACTGGTCCCATTTTGTATTGCCTGTTTAGCTGTCTGGAATATATTAAAGTACTTCTATTAGAATTATGGCTAAAACAGTTGGCAAATATGATGAAAATGAGGCAGTGTACTGCCGAGACACCCCCCTAACCCCCCCTTACACCCAGAACATAGCAGCAGGCACTAAAATGAATGAATCTTGGGCTTCAAAATAATGACACTAAAGACCAGTCAGGCTTTGCATATATAACCCTCTCTGCCTCTAACCCCTTTCTGTGTGTCTCTGAGCAATTTAAAGGCAATTTATTCCAACCCGCATTGGAAGCGGAGAACTGAAGATGCAGAAGAGCCACTGAAGACGGAATGAATGGCTTTTAGGCTCGTTACAGGAGAGGGAAGCAACCCTGGCGCTCCTCAAGGTTTAGAGACAGCCCGAAATGATTGATGCTTAATCAGCTTCTGACTCATTATTTTTCTTTATGAGCCATCTTTGAATCTGCACCAAGCCCAGGAAACCCTGTGCTCAGCAGAATTTTGTCCCGGCGTGCGTGCCATTAGGGCTCAGGTGTCATTAGCAGGCTCCAGCTGCAGGGCGCCCAGGAAGACAGGAGGAATTCAGTGTGGCACCGAAATTGGGCTGAAAGAGCTGGGAAGCCGTTGACCCTGAAGGACTCTTCTAATAGGCATATAAATTTGTATGGATTAATTATTTATCAGAGAACCACAGACAAGTCATCGAGTCCAGCAGACTCCAGGAGTGTAGCCGGCCAGCAGATAAGCACTGTTTTTGCTTTTGTTTAAGCCCCCATCTCTTTCAATGTGATTTCTTCTTTCTCCTTCCTAATTTTAATTCTTCATGCCCACTCCTCCTGGTCTTACCGTGGAAGCTCCTTATCGAATGGGTGTTTCGCCCCCTACACTGGGATGAAGGAATATTTGGAGGGAGCCAGAACAGGTACCCACCCCCCCTTGCTACAGCAAACACTGAGAACAAATTCTGGCCGTGGGAAACCAGGAAGGAGCTGCTGCTGCTCGTGCTGTTGCTGGACCTTCCTCCACCCAAACCTCCACTCATTCCCCTCCAACCCCGGGGGGTCATGATGCCCCTGTTCCCTCGCCGTGTGAGCTCACAGCTTCCCTGTGGGGCTCACCTAGAAGCTTGGGCAGGGTTGGAAGGTACGCAGTGTGTACTGTCACTGTTCATTCCACCCTCACGTCTGACTCCCCCCGTACCCCCAGTCAACTGGCTCTTCCCACAAGCTTGGGTGAGGTTGCACAGCCTTTGTCAGAAACCCAGGGCTGAGAGAGCCACCCCAGGAGAACCCGACTCATGCAACTCCATGGTGACAGAGGGCTTTGCTTGTTCTACTTGCAAGCATGTTCTCAGTGCCTAGAACAGTGCGTGGCTTGTAGAAGGCCTTCAGATCATTACGAAGGAAGGAAGGAGTCAAGAGGAAATCGATTCGCCATCTGGGACCTTGGAGCCACGCCCTCTAGGAGTGATTTCTGGCTTTTCTCATACATGACGCACCTGGGTCTCCAAGGTCTCCCCAGCAAAGGATACTTTCCTTCTGATACCCCTGGCCTGCCTCTCCATGGCCCTGTGACAGAACCCAAGAACTTGCTTGCTGACGGAGCAGTCCACCTTCCATTTCTATTTCAGACATGGACGTGCTCGCCCGCAGGCAGTCAGGCAGTTTTCATCCTAGTGACCAGAACTGTACCTAAGTTATTCTTGTTCCAACTAGATGGAGAAAAATTTGCATACACATACATTTCTCTCTCTCCCCCTCCCACATATGTAGAATGCAGGGTGTATAGAGAGACCTGTCTGACTTCCAGACAAAAGCATATCCCCACACCCAGATACACATGAAACGCCCAGCATCTCCTCACAGACACACTTGATTGCTGGAAAAATCTGACTTATTAGTATTTATTCCTTTGTTCATTTATCTGACAAATGTGTATTAAGAACTGAATGTGTTCCAGGACTTACTTTAGGCACTTCTGACAGAGATGACTAAGGCAGTTTTGCCCGCAGTGAGTATGCAGGTGCTGGGGAGGAGACAAACAAGTAAACAGGTAACTATAACTATGCG